AATGATCCAATAATGATCAAATTTGAATGCAGCTTTCTCAGACTCAGTCCCCTTCATGAATTCGTTCACATTACTCGCCCACGGATGTTTTTATGGAACAAGATTAATGGAATAATTGAAATATCTAAATTAAATTGTTAAATACCTCTTCAGGTCATTCGCAGTTCAGCATTCCAGAAAACTGTCTTCAGTTGTCCATTTATTACTAGCACAGATTAAACTCATCATCACTGTTAAGGAGCAGGAGATAAAAGATTGACTGCATATACCTGCTTTATTATTTCCTCAGCTCCTTCATATGCCTCTCTGTTCCTTCCAAACCTTTTCCTCTAAGTTCTCTTATCCTCTCTTCATAGAAGCATAATCAAAGCTACTTATGGCTTCTTTCTACTCAGCGTCTACATCAGCCAACAGGGCAAAACACTGCCTGTGCTGCAGCTAGCCAGTTGTCTACTGTGTTTAATGGCCAGCAGAGCCCTGTGTTTTGGTTGTGAATATGCCAATAGTACCCACAGTCTCATAGTTTCAAGTGGACAAAGCCAAAAGCCTTTGGAGGAGATGCACATAACCTGCAGAATGTGTTTATTGTAAGATTTTAATACTTTTAGGTCTTCTACTATTCTATCAAATTTAGCTGAACTTGGCAAGTAGTTACAAAGGTATTTGGGGGGGGATTCTGGATGATACAAATAACTGTACAGCAAGATGGTACAGCATCAAGAAATCTAAAGATGAAGAGATGAAGGAATTAGAAGGAGCACAGATCTTCACGCAGAAGCAACACAGACCTTCATGCTGTGAGATATAAAGCTCTAACTGCTGGCCTTCAGGAAAGCACTATCCTTAGGAAGGGAAGCATTATTAAGAACTATTTCCAGTTCAGTCCTTTAATTTCAGATCAGAAGTCTGGATCAAATCACAACAGAGAGAAAGATTGTGAGAGTGGCTGGATGGAATAAGTTCATCAATTCCTGGTATCCTATTTTTTGCCAAGGCTTTTTTTCCTTGCCATACCTGGTGAGTTGCAAACTGATGCCTGAGGAAACTTTCTTTTAACCACTTCTTGAAAACAGCACAAGATGCTGATAATAAAACTCATCATTTGGTGGTGGTGAGCATCATTCAGCTGTTCTCCTTCAAGGAAGAAGAGCAGGTTGAGAACTACCACGGATTTTATGGTAGTGTCTTCACACAGATCTGCAGTGTGACACAGAACTACTATAGGTACAAAAAGTCTGCTTGCTGATGGTACATTGTCACCATCTGCATAAAAGGGTGACATTTTCCTTTCTCTGGCTCACCCCAATTCTTGATGTGCTTATGACAAGCTTTAAAAACTTCTGGAGTTCATCAAAGGACAACTGCCTCTGATGGATTCTCCAGGAGAAGTAACTCTCAAATGACTGTGTGGACATTTGAGAGAAGAAACAACCACTCAGTAGCCTCTCCATGATGCTTCCGTTCATATTTGATCATTCCCAGGAGTGTACTGAAGAGTAAAAGCACCTTTAGGAAGCATTTTAGCAAAGAAGGGATCAAGGTCTGTTGAATAGTAGAGGCTGAGCAGAAGGTTATGTTGGAAATTGCTCTGCACCAGAGTGAACGGATCACTGTGTAAAAGCTAAAGACCTGTTAGCTTTTCAGAGTTACTTCCAGAGGATTATTTACCTTACCAGAGCATTACTCACTTTCTTCAGAGTGGCTTTAAAGCATCTCCAGCAACACATTATCACCAACTCTCCCAAGAGCACCCTTTTGGTTGGCTTAGAGTAGAAAGGTTCTTCTATGTATCTTCACATGGATAAAACCAGCCAGTTAAGTCATTTTTTGAGAACCCAGGAGGTAAGTTTTGCAATAGCTGTGTGATGGACTGCATTTTATGTGCATATTAATATGTGCTAGCAGTGCAAGTCATGGTGGCTGATAAGTAGTGAAAATATCAACAGCAGAACCATCACCTTTGTCCTCCACATTACAAGAAACTATTGGCAATGCACACAGGGGCCAATTGTACTGCTTTACTATGTAATTCAAGAGATCACTCAGATGTTAACAGTGATGTTCATTAGCACAGGACTAATCATTCTGAACTTTCAGAAGGAAGAAAGGGGGAGGAGAAATCTAAGACTAAATTCTCAACCTTGTTTAATTTCCTTCCCCTCTTCTCAAGAGTTGTCTGAAGCCCCAAACTGCTTAGAATGGACTACCTGGATGCAAACAAATGTGGACAATTACCCAAAGTTTCTGAAAGAACCTGCAGGCTCACCAGCCATCCTTCAAGGCTATTTTGCCTGAGAAGGGTCCATGCACTGGAAGTGTGGAAGGATAGCTTTAATCTAGGTAGTTTTCATGGGATTTGTATGTCTTCCTCAGGCTGTCTTAAGTGACAATCCAGTAAGTTTTCATTAGGATTCCTATATAAAAAGCAGAAGAGAAGGAGATCAAGCAAATATTTGTAACTTCAATGACAGTACATTGCTGTAGTTGATTGCAAGGCCATCATGATGCTAATAAACACGAAGTTCAATGACGTATGGAAAAAAAATCTGTGTTAAGATGACATTATTTAAGGAAATTCACTTAGGCTGAAGGCAGCTATCACATAAAAGAGAGAAATCCTGAATAGAGGCTAGATAGATCTGCACAAAGATTGAGCTTTCTTCTTAACACCTAAAGAGGTGTTTTTCAGGTGCTTCTACCCAAGCAATGAGAAGTCTTGCAAACATCTTTATAGTTTTGTAAAGTGACACAGGATGGATCCAAGCAATGTCATGGATGCATGGCTGAAAAGTGATGCTAACAATCTGCTTTCTCAGGTTCTATTTCCTAGGCTACCTAGGGATAAAACTCCATTGCTCTTGCCTTTGCTGTTAGAACCACCTATCAATCATGATCAAAAATCAGTGGGATAAGGAGGCTATTTCCCTTCTGGATGCCCTCAAGATGCCTCATTTTGTTACTGAATGGTTAAACATTTACTTCACATGTTGAGTTGACTGTATGAATAGAATTGTCTAATGTATGTATGCACCTCTCAGTGTGCATGTACAGAAAATCTGGAATAGAATCAATGAGGTTGGAAAAGACCTGTAAGATCATCAAGTCCAACCCCAGGAAGGATCGTAGCATGAGGTGCTATACACAGGAAGACCCAGGAGAGTGAAAGAAAACTGCCTGAAATCAGAAACATGCTCACCTGTATCACTTTCTGTAAGATTACTTATGCTTGCTGTTACATCCTCATCCAACCAATACATTACCTGACATAACTTTAAATGATGACATCTTTTTATGACATTTCTCTTTTTTCTCCTCAAATGTTAAGTCTAATTTAAAGGAATTAGTCATGAGTGACAAATTTTAAGCTAAGTACAGAATTACTTCATGTGGCATTTATTAGACAAGTCAAACATGGCAAGAGTTTTAACCAAATTGGCATATTCAGCAAAGTAATGTCTTGGCATAAAAATCCTTTCTTAAAATTAGATTGTTTGTTATTGGGGAGATTCTTTTCTTTTTCTCAGATAACTTCCTTTTTTCTGTACTTTCTTTTGGTTAGGAGTGGAGAAGAAAGAAATTGTATAATAGTGAGTAATAAATTCTGTCATTCTTGTGAGTAATGCTTTGTAATTAGAAGAAATAAAAGTAAAGTAAGTACAATGGTGTGTGGTGTGTAGGGCTGGGGGTGTATTGTTGCGTTCAAAGGTTTTCATATTAATAATGATGCTGAACTTTCATCATTTGAAGGTTCTGCTTGAACTAGCATCAAAAGATGCAGTGGCTTATCTGTACCTTCAGTGCCACATGTTGCCACAGCTGTATAAATCTTTCAAGCAGGGATATCTGGGATGAACCCAAATCTTTAATCACTAGAGCTGCAAGTCACAAGCATGAGACCTTCCGGAAGAAAAGCTGCTAAAACCCTGACTGTCTTTGCAATCCAGACGCTAGATGGCTGAGTTGCCTTCTCCAATGCTCATACCCTGGGTCATGCATTGCATCAGGCACTAGTGGGACTCACTTTTTCCCTATTCAGGACTGACAATTCCCTCTTCATGACCTTGCTACTCCTATTGTGCTGCTTTTGCTGCAGAAGCACATGAAAACGCCAGTCTGATGGACCAGAAATAACTGAAATATTTCAGGTCCCGTGAACTTTGATCAAGTCCAAGGTTTTGTTTCAGTGGGCCGGCTGGTGAACCATAAACACTGTTTTTCTGTCATTGTATTAGTCCCTTGCTGAGTTTATCCAGAGGCAAGTGTTTTAGCTGTTGTATCCTCTCTGGCTCTGGAGCAGATGGCTCTGATGGAGATGCCCTAAAGCTGGTGATTTTGGAAGATGAATATTTCCCAGCCTTGGGCAATGAGATGGAGGATCTGCTCCAGAACTGGGTGTGCTGGGAGCCACCTGCAGCTGCTCAGTGAAATTAGCATTCTCATTAACTAACATTTAATGGGCTTGCTGATTGCCAGCTAGTAATGAAATGTACAAGAATGTCAGATTTGCTGAGCAACCTCTGGGATCTGGGAACTTCCAGTTCCATGAAAACGTGGATGAATTTTTGCTTTCTTCCCCATTTAGCGAAAGAACATCTCTTTCAAAAGAGCAACAAATCATATAAGATGATTTTCAGCTGACTCTCCCGACTATTCCTGTCTCAGAGATTCCAGGGAATGCTGAGAGCACCTCCTCCACTTTTAAATTATCCTGAAGTATAATTATTGCCACTTTCTGGAAATCCCATCTTACTTTAAGGTTAAATTCAACTAACTTACATTTGCATTTATCTGAGTCAGGAATACCTTTCCATGCAAGACCCAAAACTATAAAAGTTGCCCTCCTTGATACCTCAGATATTATAGAATCATAGAATTGTTTGGGTTGGAAAGGACCCTAGGATCATCCAGTTCCAATCCCCTGCCATGGGCATGGACACCTTCTGCTAGAGCAGGTTACTCCAAGACTCCATCCAACCTGGCCTTGAAAACTGCCAGGGATGGGGCATTCACCACTTCTTTGGGCAACCTGTTAAATCATAAAGAACTACACAGGAAATCTACTTCTAATCCACTTCAACGAACTGACGTGATTGTGCACACTAAAGTTCATACAATGTATCCCTTTCTGTGAAAAACTTGAGCTTGCACTATTTTAACACTTCAAGTGAAGGTGGAATATATTTTAGTAGCAGCCTTCATCGTACATCATGATTTCGATGAATAATAAATCAAATGAATACATTTTCCAGGACTGGTTTAGTGCCTTTATTAGAGGATATCTTTAAGAACTTGTCATACATCTCTTCCAATGATTTCTGGGACCTGTTCAGCTTCCTAATCCCTTCAGTTTCCCTGTTTCCAGATGTAAAAGTCTCTTTTACTTGGCTGTCTTCAGTGCCCTTTGACCATTCAGAGTGGTATTCGGTATCTTTGTAATTGCAACCTGTCTTCTTTATTATTTGTGACATAATCACTTTTATGTTTTATGCCAGCTTTCACTAACCAAACAAAGCAACAAAAGTAGCATTTACAATCAATGAAAAACAAGCATTGAATAATGATTGCTCAAAATCTATTTTTAGAGTGATAACAATGAACATAGGTACAATTCACTGAAAATCCTTCCATTCCTGCTGAAAATAGCATTTAATGTACTGAAAGAGGTTTTAATTGATGTAATATGTGTCTTTCTGCTTCTTTATACACAGCAGCTTCAATCCACATGGTTGCAATCTAGGGAAACCAAACTAGGTTATAACAGCATTACTTTCTATATGAAGCAGACATTAAATCTCCTTGAAAAGATAACAGGTTTCTTTGACAAGACCTACTTTCCAGGGAACAATGTCATCTGGTGGTGCAGTGATATTTTTAACTTCAGATGTTCTCCCTGATGAACTTCTGAGTGAAGCGATTTTTCTTCCTAAGGATCAGTTTCTACAGTCCAGAATTTAACTCCATTAAGTGTCAATAAGCCCTCAAGTCTTTGGAAAGGTCTCTGGTTTTACGAGATTTGTTCAGATCAGTAAAATCCCAAACCAGCTTCCAACACTGAGTAGATTTTAATGAGAAGTTGGAGTATCATCTTCCATGCTGCAGAAATACTGAAATGGGAAGCTCAGGTTAGATATAAGGAAGAAGTTCTTTACTGTGAGGGCACTGAGGTGCTGGAACAGGTTGCCCAAAGAAAGCTGTGAATGCTCCATCCCTGGCAGTGTTCAAGGCCAGATTGGACAGAGCCTTGGGTGACATGGTCTAGTGTGAGGCATCCCTGCCCATGGCAGGGGGTTGGAAGTGGACAATGTTCAGGTCCTTTCCAACCCAAACCATTCTATTATTCTACAATTCTATGAAATATTTCACTGCAAGACTTATGGCCTCAATTGGTAGAAATATTTACAGGTCACCTTAAATCTATTGGGAGACTTGTAATGGGACGCACTAATACAGATGCACTGAGAACACTGCAACACTCACTGTCTATGCAGCTGATATATTTTGGTTATAGGCCGGGGCATCACAAATGAGAGAAGAATTTTGCTGCATCCAGGTGTTATAGCCCTTCCTCTTCTACACAGAAGAATTTAAGGCTGCATTTTCTCAGACCAAATGTCTGTCTAGGCAGTATTCTGTCTCCAACAGTGGCTCACACATCCTGCCTAGTAAAATGTGAGATAAAAATATACTGTTATTTCCATGATACGTTCTCTAGAGATGGGTGGCTGAGGAAATACTGCAGCCAGAATACTTGAATGTACCCTACAAGACCAGAAGTGAGTGGCTATTTTCTCTTGTTACGTACCCATGATGCAGAAAGCAGAGCAAAAGTTAACTGCTGTGCCCCTTTCACCTTTGTTGCTTTTGCATGTGCGGAGAGAGATGCAATTTTACTGGCACACTGGAGCTCTGAATTCCTTCATCTGTTTGCCCTTTCTGCAGCAGTACCTCCATTTGGTAAATAACCTGGGGAGTAAGGAAAGTAAAGAGGCAAAGTTATCGTGAACCTGTTGAAATGTATTAGGGAACAATAAGGAAAAAGAATAGAGAATGTCCCAGGCACACATTCCATTGCTCAATGGGTGTCAGCTTGAACAGGTTACATATAAACTGTCATCTTAAGAGCTACCAGACACTAATGCAAACAGTAAGCTCTGTAGGTAGCTGCTTTTAGTGCTTTACTGTACATGCATCCTTAAAATGAAGTTGAGTCTGTGCATTGGCAGTGATTTCAGTGCTAGACATTTTTTCTGCTTTTTAGAACTTGATGGTCTCTATTCTTACTATACTGAGAGATACAAGACTGCTGCTGGTAACCTGTGGCCTAGGAAGATCATCTTAACATGTACCAGCTTGTGGTGACCATCAACACTTTTGCACACAAGCAAATGCAGGTTTATTCCAGCTCTGAAAAGTGAGTCAAACTGCAGGCTGCAGGAGTATGTGTTGCTCCATTACGAACCCTGTTTTTACACTTTTCCCTGTATGCCCACTACTGGCTACTGCTGTGACATTTTCTTCTCCAGTGACACCATTTTATTCTCTGGTGACAAATTTCCATCCTCCAGCAAGTTGTCCTAAGTCTGCTTGTGTGAAAAGACTATGATGGTCACCATGTATTACGATGACTTTCCTAGGCAACAGAAAGAGACTTCTTACAAGGGAATGTATTGACAAGACAAGGAGGAATGGCTTTAACCTGCTAGAAGGGATACTAAGATGAGCTCTTAGGCAGAAGTTCTTCCCTGTGAGGGTGCTGAGGCGCTGGCACAGGGTGCCCAGAGAAGCTGTGGCTGCCCCATCCCTGGCAGTGCTCAAGGCCAGGTTGGACACAGGGGCTTGGAGCAGCCTAATCCAGTAGAAGGTGCCCCTGCCATGGCAGGTGGTTGGAACTGAATGGTCTTCAAGCTCCCTTCCAACCCAACCCATTCTATGGATTATGATTCTATGACTGCAGTAAGTGCCATGAGAAGCCACAGGTTTTTCCTGAAGGAAGAAAGACTTGTGACAAAGCTTCCTCATACTAAGCTTAGTCCAGTGGTGAAAATGGTTGCCCCAAACTGCAGTTTCCATTACCAAAGTTCTTTGAGATCAGGTTAGACTTCTAATTTCTTCCAGGAATGAGGGAGGCCATGTAAACAAGCAAGAAGAGACAAATGCCTTCATGATTCCTTTAGCTGTCAGTTTTACAGTACCTTCCAATGAAAACTGCTCTGCAAAATAAAGTTGTTTCTCACTTGTTGTTTATTGGGGTTGAACAAAGAAACTAGATTACTATCAAATAACACCTTCAAGCTTAAGTTGAATGTGCCTGGCACCACAACAAGGAAGTTTCAACTTTTCCATTATTACATAGTGCATTATAGGCACAGATTTGATTTTCTGATCTGCAGCACAGAACAGAAGTTACCCTTTCAGGTATAAACTCCCACTACCCGAGTTAGATAAAGAAAATAGTTTCTTCCCCTCCTGAAACATGCTCTGAAACTCAGAAAGACCAAACAATCCCATCCAGACAGCCCTCAGGAATCTACTTTGAATTAATAAAGAGAGTACATGTTCTTAGCTATTTTTGTGTACATTTTAAAATGCAAACAAAGCCCTTCCCATCTCTTCAGATGAGATTCTGACATTCCCTGGTTTGCCTGTGAAATGTGGATGTGTTTTTCTCCCTAGTGTTTGTGTATGTATAGAATGTGCTCTGCTTAGAAAGGAAGCAGAAATAGAGGTGTGTGTGTGCACGCCTGTAAATCTGCTTTCAGAAGGCACAAATCCCAGTTCCTTAAGCACCTCCAAGTCCACTCCATAAATCTCTGCAGGGAATTTTATCTCTGCAGAGCACAACTTTAGTAATTATGCACATATTGAGGAACTTGTTGAAAAAGTGGGGCAAGCCAGTGCTAGTTTAAAATGTCTTCTTCCTACCTTACTGACTTGATATCATATTTTCTGCAGCTTTCACATCATGCTAGCTGACCAGACAATTTATTAAGGACTGTGTGGGGAATACTGAAATGAACTGCTAACCACCCTGAATACTGATGTTCCAGGGAGTAATTGGCTTCCAGATAGTTTCTACAAATGGGAAACTTTCTCAATATGTGTGAAAGGAACATGAACTCCATTCTGCTGGAGCACCTCCTGTCTGGAGACAGGCTGAGAACACTGGGGCTGTTCAGCCTGGAGAAGAGAAGCTGCATGGAGACCTCAGAGCAGCTTCCAGTGTCTGAAGGGGGCTACAAGGATGCTGGAGAGGGACTCTTCATCATAGAATCATGGAATTATAGAATCATAGAATAGTTAAGGTTGGAAAGGACCTTAGGATCATCCAGTTCCAATCCCTTGCCATGGTCAGGGTCACCTCACAATAAAATGTCACCCAAGACTCCACTCAAACAGGCCTTGAACACTGTCAGGGACAGTGTTCATGCACAACCTGTGCCAGCACTTCAGCACCCTCACAGTAAAGAACTTCTTTCTTATATCTAACCTGAATTTCCTCTGTTTCAGTTTGAACCCATCACCCCTTGTCCTATCACTCCAGTCCCTGATGAAGAGTCCTTCTCCAGCATCCTTGTAGCCCCCTTCAGACACTGGAAGCTGCTCTGAGGTCTCCACGCAGTTTCTCTTCTCCAGCCTGAACAGCCCCAACTTTCTCAGCCAATCTTCACACAGGAGGTGCTCCAGCCCCTGATCATCCTCGTGGCCCTCCACTGGGCTTGTTCCAACAGTTCCATGTCGTTTTTATGTTGAGGACACCAGAACTGCACGCAATACTCCAAGTGAGGTCTCATGAGAGCAGAGTAGAGGGGAAGGATCACCTCCATCGATCTGCTGGTCACGCCAAACTTGTTTTGATGCAGCCTGGAATCAGAGACTGTAGTAACAGGACAAGGGGTGATGGGTTCAAACTGAAACAGGAGAAGTTCAGGCTGGAAATAAGGAAGAAGTTCTTTACTGTGAGGGTGCTGAGGCGCTGGCACAGGGTGCCCAGAGGAGCTGTGGTTTCCTCATCCCTGGCAGTGTTCAAGGCCAGCTTGGACAGAGCCTTGGGTAACGTGGTCTAGTGTGAGTTGTCTCTGCCTGTGTTAGGGGGTTGGGACTGGGTGATATTAACGTGCTTTCCAACCCAAACCATTCTATGATTTTATGATTCTCTGTGGAGGCTACAGCTCTGAAAAGCACCTCATGTAAAAGTTCAATCCACTCTAAAGGATTCCACTAATGCAAAATACTTCGACTGAAAACAAATGAAAAATGTCTGTTTTGTAAATTAGAAATTATTCCTGAGCTTTTATTAGTTTCACAAATTATTTGCTCTCAGACAGACAAAAAGTCTTAGCAGGAAACACAAGATTGTCAGGAGAAAAAGCATCTAATTTAAAAATAAAATCTTATGATTTGCTGATTAGAAATGACATTTGTACAATCAGAAATGTTTTTTAACAGAAAAAATAACTGAGCAATGAATTGAAACATTCCCTTTGAGTGAAAGCATTATCTACTCTTCAGTTCACCAGAGAAAAACAGTGTTTGATCACACTCTATATGAAATACGTTATTGCGCTTTTTGTTGCCCACAAATGCTGCAGGCCACAAAAAAAATAACAAATCAATTTTCCATACAGCTCTCACATCAAACATCTGTTTGCAAAGAGTCTTTATCAGAAATGAAGACGCAGGATCTAAATCATAGTAACATAGAATCATAGAATGGTTTGGATTTGAAAGGACCTTAAGACCACCCAGTCGCAACCCCCTGCCATGGGCAGGGACACCTCACACTGGCCCATGTCACCCAAGGCTCTGTCCAGCCTGGCCTTGAACACTGCCAGGGATGGAGCATTCACCACTTCTCTGGGCACCCTGTGCCAGTGCCTCAGAACCCTCACAGTAAAGAACTTCTTCCTTATCTCCATACTGATCTTCCCCTGTTTCAGTTTGAACCCATCATGCCTTGTCCTATTGCTACATTCCCTGATGAAGAGACATCAGTCTATGTAGCATCTAGTGTTGGGTCTTTAAGAGTTACTACATTATCAATAAAAAAATCTCAGCTCTCAACCACCATTAGAATATGCCTTAGTTAAATTTGTTACCATGTTAAATTTGACTCAGGAATTAAAATCTACAGTCTATGCTCTGCCCTTAGTAAGCTCCAGTAAGTCCTTGATAACTACATAAGAAATCTTGCTGCAACATGTTCTTCATTCATCGTTTCTCAACTGAATTTGATCATTTAATTATGAGTATCTTCATCTGGGGAGGCATAAGCGGAACTCAGTTTCTGCTCTGCAAGAACTGAAGGCAGAAGATGTAGATAAAAGGATAGATAGGCCTGTAATTTACACATACATGGTGTCCCGAGGATCAAGCTACAGTCGAGAGAGATGATGTAACCCTTAAAGTTCTCTGTGATTCACATTAAAGCCAGATGGCTCAACTCCCAGTAGCAAGTTGGCTATACCATTGTGAACTCCAGCATTAAACCCGTGAATAAACACTCTGTACTCCAATTTACTGCAATTAAAATCCGCAGCTTAAATCTAGCTTTTGCAGCTAGTTTTCTTCCATACAGTGCCCTTCTAGTTAAATGTGCCCTTAGCTCTGTGTCAATCGAGTTAATGTCAAAGAAGGGCCCTTTGGAGCATCTTCTAAATGTAAATTATCTGCTGTTCCAGCTTTAATACAAATTCTGTCGTCTGATTAGTAGTTGATCACATTAAACAGAATGGACTCAATCCACTGCCCAAACCAACCCTACAAGCAGGAAGGACATTTCAAGTTAAAGAAAGAGCTTCCAAGTTCCCTTGTTAAACTCCTGGAACTCTCCCTTTATAAACCCCAGGAGGAATATGCTTCTGAAATAATGGCTACTGATTGCTATTTACTGATAGGTTTCTAATTCCTCCTCTGGACAAAGAGGACTTCTTCAGAAACAGGACTGTCACCTATGATTCTTGTGC